TTCCCTTCCCTTCCCTTCCCTTCCCTTCCCTTCCCTTCCCTTCCCTTCCAACATTCCCAAATCTGAACATTTAAGGATTTGAATACAAGCTTGCCTGTTAATTCTCAGTCTTGGGTGAGTCAGTCACAAGGCACCACTTGTAGGGAGCAAAGTACATCTAAACTTTTTGTGCTTGGGAGGGAAACCAATCTCACAGGAATTTTTTTTTTTTTGGTACCAGGAATTGAACTCACTACCTCATGCTTGCCAGGCAGGTGCTATGCTGCTGAGCTAAATCCCCGGCCTCACAGGGATATTTTGACAGAATGGAAGAAGATATTTCAGAGTAATTTCAGCAAACTCAGGTTATTCATTTAAAGTTTTCTACAGAACACGAGCAAAATTCATCTTCAATCTCTTATTAGTAGCTAATACCAGCAACTAACCCTATAAACTATAAAGCAATTTACATGAACTTTCTGTGAAAGAAAGGAATTTCCGATCCACACATTTCTTCTCAGTGAAGAAAGCAGACTGTTGCTTTACGTGCTGGCACAAGGTTACATTCTGGGATCAGTCATTGCAGCTGCGCCGTCAGAATATAATCCTACACGAAGTCCCAAGCTCCAGATGCGTTTATGGACAGTATAATCCTTTATAGTTCACAGATGTGTTTATTGGCCACAAGTCTAAGAAAAAGAAAAGAATGACTTCTTCTTATAGCAATCATGCGTAAGCCACGCATACAGCAAAAAGTTGGTCATAACGTCTATGTATTCTAATTGCAGTAAAATTTTTTTGCTAGTTTTATTTCTTGTGATTTGGGCTTGCGCATCATTAGCCCGCTCTTCAGATACACTGAACTGCAGTTTCCCTGGGAAGGGCGTTTCAGCCGCCTCCTCTCCCAGCCTCGCTGAACACTGTTACGCCACCGTCGCTGGTTCAGTCTCACGTTCACCTCTTGGCAGCTGTGTACGTATTTGATCTTAGCAACCTCAACCACTGCTGCACTCGAAGCTGGCGGAACTGTTTTATGTGAAATAGTTAACACCTGCGCTGTCGGGTTTTAAATTTAACACTTTCTTTCAAAGAATTCTTTTGGTTTTATACTTGTTCTGTACATTTAGTATGAAAATGCCACTGAAGTCTTGATAATTTCATTTAATTATAGTATACTATCTAGAGAAATGGACTAATGATTTATTCCTTTTTAATTTTTATATAAAATGTGCAGCAAACTTCTTCTGATCGAGTCAGTACATTTCCACGGATAATACACTAGTTTTAGCACATCGTCGATAATTATGCCTACAAATTGAAGTCAATACATGGAAGATTATACTTCTGGATGAAACTAGTATGAACCCTTTTGGTCTCCTTTTTGTCACCATTTGGTTTTACTAATACCACACTTTTAAATGTGTGTAAATTCTTGAAAAAAGTCCTATAAAGCCTGTTTCCCAACCAGTAGACTGAGGTAAAGATAAATGAAATATCCAGGCACGGTAGCATACCCCATTACAGGTACATGAAAGGCTGAGGCAGGAGAATCAAAAGTTCCTGGGCAACTTGTAAGACACTGTCCCAAATAAAAACAAACATGAAAAGGGCTGAGGATGTAGCTCAGTAGTCCCTGTTCCAGTTCTCTTGGAGAGCTGCTCATCTCGATTAGCAAGGTTGCTGTCCTCCCTAGTGTCTCATGACAGAACCCCCCGATGGCTCCCTCAGCACCACAGAACGTCTCCACTAACCTCACAGTGCTTCCTGTCCCACTTGCCGGCTGGATTCAGATCTGCAGTGCTCTTGCCTGGAAGTCTGCTGTAGGCTTCATGTCTTCCATCTCTCATTCCTCTGTTCTTCACGCTGGTAAAGTTTTATTCCTAGAACATAAGCCATGATAATTTCCCTTCTTAGTAAAGTCGATAGAGTAGAGTTTCACGTAGAGATGAGCTTTTATCAACTAACCGCTGTAATCTGATGTCTGTTCATTTGTGGGTAGTCTCAACTTGTGAGGGGTTGTGAAAACAGGGTTTATTAGAGGTTAAGCAATACAGGATACACACATTCTCTTGCTGTGGTGTAAATATAAAACATAATAAAATTACACTAGCTTTTCTTTGCTGATGCTGATTTGATTTGGGGTCATAATTTTTGCCTGTTTGATTTAACTATTACTGAACAAAACACCAAACGAAGTTATATGCTATAAACTGGAGGATAACGGCGAGGTGTCCACCATGCACTCTATTTTCCTCCTGGTCCCACTAGATATGCTGGCAG